CAACTCAATACTATTAGACATTTGGGGAGAAAAGAAAACAGAAAACATGACCTTCACCCCAGAGAAAAGGCCACAAGGGACATGACCCCAAGATGCTGACTTGTGTTGGAATCATCAGACACGTTCTGACTCTGCTCGGGGACATAAAGGAAAACAGGCTCCAGGTGGAGAGTAGAACATCTCAACAGAGAAATCGAAGCTATTTAAAAAGAGAACCAAATGGAAATTCTGGAGTTGAAAAATGCAGTATCTGAAATAAAAATTAACCTTAGGGATGAGAGAAGATTCAGTGCACTAAGAAATTGGTCTGTAGAAATGGCTTAATATGAAGAACGGAGAGAACAAAAATTGAAAAGAGAAATGAGCAGAGCTTCAGGAAGCAGCGGGACAGTGTCTGATATACGTGTAATTGGAGTCCCGGAAGAGAGGAAAGAGAACGGGGCATCAAAATGTGAAGTAAGAAATAACTGAAAACCTCCCAAGTTTGGTGGAAGCTTAAATCTACAGCTTTGTGAAGCAGGATGAATGTAAAGAGAGCCTCGCTTAGGCTCACCATAGTCAAACTGCTGAAAAGCAGTAACAGAGGGGAAATCTCGAAGGCACCAGAGGAAGAAAAGACGTGTATGTAGTCATGTGGGCTGTCACAGCCTTCTCAGAAGACAGTGGAACCGTGTCTTCAAGTTCTGGCGGGGAGAGGAGTTGACCCAGAGTCCTGTATCCAGCGAAAATATCCGTTAGGAACACAACGTGAAATAGAGAGAATTTAGGTAAATTCTAAGAGCATTTGTCATCAGCAGACCTCTGTAAGAAATGCTGCAGGAGCGAAAAACAGTCCTTCAGGCTGCAGAGAAGTGGCAGCACACGCACACGGGACCTCGAGGAGAAAGAAGGAAGGATGTGGAAATGGTGAGGCGGGTGGTGAAAATAAAAGAGCAGCGTCCTATGAATTCTTCTAAAATGAATGACCGTTCAAGGTAAAACTCACAGCACAGCGTGGGCTTCATCGTGTCTGCACATGAAGCGTATGTTCCAGCTTCAACATAAAGGGGCTTGGGGTAAACGGGCACAGACAGTCACTAATTTCTTACGTGATGTGAACGATATCCACTAATAGACTGAAAGTTGACATGTAATGCAGTCTCTAGGGCAGCCACTACAAAATAATGCTAAAAAGCCAATATGTAAATTAAAATGGAATGGGGAAAAATACTCAGTTAACCAAAAGAAGGCAGGAACAAGAGGAACAGAGACCCCAGGAGGGGGCAGATAGGAAGCAAGTAGTAAAACGGCAGCCCTGACGTCACCCACGTGAGCAGTTACTCTAAATGTAAGTGACGAAACACCCCAGCGAGGAGACACACCAGAGTGGATGGAACAGCAAGACCTGCCCATCTTGTAAAACACCGTGACTGACGCAGAGGGGTTGAGGTGAAAAGGTGGGAACAGGCAGCCTGAGTCGGCTGGGGGGAGCATTAACCCCAGATAAAGGGGGCTTCAGATACAGATGAAGCATTGCCGGGGGTACGGAGGGCACAGCCCACAGGACGGAAGGGTGGGCTCAGGAGTGAGGTGCGTGTGCTCCTGAGGAACAGAGCCTAAGACATGGGTGAGGCAAGGACGGGCAGAATCCAACAGTCATTCGCAGTCATTGTTGGGAAATTTCACACCCCTCTTTCCGCTGTAATAGGGCCGACTGAGCACAACTCAGGAGACAGACAAACCCTGGACAACACACAACCGTGCTGCATCTAGAGCAGGGGTTGGCAGGCGGTTCTTGTTGGGGCCAGAGTGAATGTTCCTGGCGCTCTGGCCGCGTGTCTGTAGCAGCTCCAAACTCTGCCATGGAGCTCAAAGCAGCCGTTCATCAGCGGACAAGTGTGGCCTCGTTCCAATAAAACTTTATTATTTACAGACACTTTTTACATGTCAGGAAATGTGCTTACTTTGATCTTTTTCGACCATTAAAAAACGTAGCAACCTTCTTAACCAAAAGGGGCCACAGAGTTGCTCAGTCGTGTTCCAGAGCATTGACATTGAGAAGGAGACAGGTTGGAATGAACACCTTTTCTCTGAGCAGCGTCGGGATGACAGTGGGGCCCTGCTGGCCACCCTGCCCAGCAGCCTCCCTCCGGCCACGCCAAGCTGAGGTGCCAGGAGGGATCCAGTGCTGACTCCTCCCCTGTCCCCGACATCCAGGCAGGTGTGAGGGATGATGCTCCGAGTCCCGCACCTCCCGTCCCTTGTCCCTTGTGAGAGGCCATGGCCGGGGTCGCAGGGCCTTCTGCTCTGTAAAGAGCTCCACCTGCCATGGCCAGAGAAACACCCACCCCCTCTCCCCCCGCTGCCCGGCACCCCGTCCGCTTCTCCCCCTCAGACTCAAGGGTGCTGCCCTCCCGACCTCTCAGTCCCTGAAGCGCTGCGGGTCACCCTGAGATGCTTGTCGCCTGGTGAGTTTGCTAATGCCCGTCTCCCTGGGACTGGAAGCTGCCGAGGCCAGGAACCACCGCTCCCCCACTGCATAGCAAGCACAGCCGGTCCCAGGAGTGTCGTGTGCCCGGTCCCCCTGCTCCTGGACCAGTGTTGAGTGCGTTCAACACCGGGAGCCAAGATGACTGATGCCAGGAGGTATGTGTGTGGTGGGCTGGCTGGGGATGGGGAAGGTGGCCTGGGGCGGATGGTAGGCCTGGCGGGCGAGGGCACCGGGGGATGGGGTGGCCAACCACAGCTGAAGCTCAGACCCTGCTTGGGGGCGGCCGGCCGCAGTGCGCAGGGTCAGGGGTCAGTGGTTGGGGTCTTCAGGCTCACCTTGCTGCAGGTGCACCTCGGGTTTGGTTCAGTTCAACTGTCATTGGTACCTCTGTGGGTCTCCGCCCTCACAGATGCCTGTCTCTTGGGATCGCATACAGGTGGTCCAGCAGGTGTGGAATTACAGCAGTGGTGGTGAGCCTCGGTGAGTGGGAGCCTCCTAGGTGGGTGACCCCCTCAGAGTTCTAAGAGGCACCAGGTAGGGAGGTGAGAGTCAGCAGGTGCAGAAGTCCAGAACACTTCCTTGTGCCTGAAGCAGGAGGGCCAGGCCCCCAGGGGAGACGGCAGGCACGGCAGGGAGTCGACGTGTGTGTGCACACGTGCCTGCATGTGCGCAAGTGCATGCGTGCTGCAGCTCTGCATGGAGCCCCGTCACCAAGCTAGTCACCGTTCATTAGTAAAGTTGTGACATTTGAAAAGCCCAACAGTAGTTAAGAGTCTGTCCACTGGGGTAAGAGTGCTTTCCTTTCTCTCTGAAACTGACTACACCGCACCCGCTAAATGGTTTTGTGAGGGAGCTGTTGTCTTTGAGAAGCCTGATGCTTCGACGCTGTGCGTTCTCTAGCGTTCTCGAGCGTAGGAAGTGTCGCCGCGGCCGGTGTGGCCGGTACTGCTGTCGTTTCCCCGGTGCCTGACTTTGACAGTGAACGCCGAGGACCCAGGCCTACCATGTAAACCACCGCTTGTCAGCGGAGCACACTCGGCAAGCTTCTCATTTCCTGAGACACCAGTATGTTCTGCTGACTTGAATCGGGAACAGAATTCGCCCTTCCTAGCGTTCTGTGTGGTGTAAAGGTCGAGGCTGACACCTTGAATTCTAGGCTGAATGCATAAATATTTTAATGGGCACGTTAGCAACGATTTTGAAAGGTGCTTCCCTCCTCCTTTGAAAACGATTTCCTCCTCCTACACAGTTTATTTTTCTTAGTAGTTCAGCACAATATTCCGTTTCTCAGGGCCTTTGGTGGTGTAAAACATTAGCTAACAGTCGCTGGGGTGCCAAGGCACGCTTTTATTTTTTTTTATGTAAACTCTTCATTGAAGTGTGACATACAGAGAGGTGCGTGACCCAAGTCTCCAGCTGGGTGAGTTGTCACCAGGGACCCCCATCCACATCAAGATCAGAACATACCAGCCCGAAAGCCCCTGCCCCTCCCATGGGCGACCAGCACCCTGGCTTCTGCCAGCAGACACTCCTTTAGCCCCGTTGGACATCATGTAAATGGAACCCACAGTGTGTGCCCTTGTGCACCCAGCATGTGCGGGATTCCGCCGTGTTGTCCTGCGTGTGAATGAGCCAGACTCAGTTTCTCGTTGTTCCAGTGGCGATGGGCGTTGGGTTTGTGTTATAGGGAGGAAGCATGTAGAGTGGGGCGGGGGGGCGGGTACATAGACTTTGAAATCAGGCAGCCCTGGGTTTAAGTCCTAGGCTCCTACTTTTTCACTCTGTGACCCAGGGCAGATTGCCTACCTAAACCTCTCTGAGCTACAGATTTCCCGTCTGTGAAATGGATACAGTAATCCCTGCCTCCCTGGGCAGTTAGGAGGATTAGGCACCAGACACAACCCCCTGGTTCCAGCTGGACACACACTGAGGCCTCCCCTCTTGCCGCCCCTCAGTAGCCGCTCAGAAGCCCACTGCTGGGGTCATTTAGTGCGTCGGTGGCTGCGAGGCCCCTCTGCAGGACCCTCGTGATTTAGATTTCAGCTGTGAGGCGCAGGATCCCGTGAGCGGAGCGTCAGTCCCCCACCCGTCTTGTTGTGGGCTGACGGGCTCAGTGCCTGGTCCCCGAGGGTGGCCTTGAGCAGCCCCTGAGACCCCAGGCCCTGGTCAGTGCCAGAGGAATGAGAGGGTCCTGCCCTCGTGCCGCCGCCCCTGCAGGTGCCTCTCCATGTGTGCACAGCGGCCCGGGCCCGCTGGGTCCTGTGTCCTGCACCGTACGCTTTGTGCCCGCCTGCCGAGTGCGCCCTGGGCAGGTTTCAGGACACGGGCTCTTCGGCCCAGGTCTGGCCTCAGGCCACCTGATGCTTCCCCGTCGGGCTTTGGCTGATTTCAGACACCGGGCCTGGCAGGTGGGGACGTCTGCCTGGGGGCTCTCTAGCTGGCAGGGGTGTGTGCGCGCGGCCCGAGCTGCCTGGGCCAGGCGGTCTGCAGCGTGCCGCCCGCGTGTGTAACGGCCGCGTGTCTGTTGCAGGCCTTCCGGAGCAGTACTACAGCCTCACCTGGTTCCTGAGCCCCATCCTTGGCCTCGTCTTCACCCCCCTCATCGGCTCCGCGAGTGACCGGTGCACCCTAAGCTGGGGCCGCCGGCGGCCTTTCATCCTCGTGCTCTGCGTGGGCGTGCTCTTTGGAGTGGCACTTTTCCTTAACGGCTCTGCCATCGGTGAGTGTTCTGCAGAGCCTTGCCTGGGACTCGATAAGATGCGCAGGTTTAAAGAATTTAGACCGGCTGGTCCCGGACTGGGCAGCTGTTCAGAGCCCTGGACGCCCGGGCGGTGGCCAGGCCACGGGCCCCACGTGGGAACGCCGTGGGAACCTGTTCTCAGGGAGCGTTTCCTGTTGTGATCCATTTGTTTTTAATGCGTATCTGACACCACGTCCTGTTTCCAGCATTATTTCAGAAATTATCTTTTCTCTTTTTTTTTTCTCCTTTTCTTAGGCTTGGTATTGAAAATGTCCAGACGTAGTGTGATACTTTTTTGTTTGTTTCTTTCGTGTACTCGTGGTTTGTTTTGCGTCTTTTTGTTGTTGTTTTGTTTTCAATTAAAACAACTACATGTGGGAAAATAGCTTTTGCTTGAGAGCAGCCGCCAGCACTGGTGGAAAACAAAACCCTGTTTTCTGGCAACGACTTTGTAAGTCGAAGGCTTAATCTGTGTTCTGACATAGGCGAGCCTGCCCCCAAGTCTGCATCAGTTGAGGCGGGGGTCGCTGATGCTAGGAGGCTCAGGAATTGGGGAGGGCGGCGCAGAAAGAAAACTTTGCTGTGCAGCCAGAGCCTCGCTCAGCTGCTCAGAGGCTGTGTGAGGCCGCCTGGGGCGAGCTTAGTGCCAGCTTGGTGGGGGCGGCCGAGGAAGGCCTCCCTGAGCTGAGCGCCCACCCACCTCCCCTCCATCCAGATGCCCCCAGATCAGGGGTCCGGGGGTGCCGCCCTCCTGGCACCTGTGGGCACAGTTTAGAGGGCATGTTGCAGCTTTCTCGAGGACCTGTGTGTGCAGGTGGGCCCGGCCCACTGTGGCCCAAACGCAGCGGCTTGGAGCTCCGGCCCGGTGCCCTCTGTCTTGCTGCGCCTGTGTTGCTCCCGGGCATTGCAGGGTCCAGGTAGCCAGCAGGTTCCCTGCCCTCAAGCAGGGAGGGTGTCTGAGACCCGCCTCATCTGCAGAGCTCAGGGGCTGGTCTTGGGTTCCAGACCATGAGCCCAGTGCCCCCTCATCACTTTTGTGCACAGAGTGCCCCTCAGTCCCACGGCGGTGAATCCAGTAAAACCAGCTTTAGCTCAGCTGTCAGGGGAGCAGGTTGGTCTCTGGGTTCAGGGCCAGACTCACCTGAGGCAGGTGCGTGATTACGGCTCATAGCCTCCTTCCCAGAGCCAGGAAAGACAAAACTCTCCTTCCGTAAGGAGAGGCTGTGCCGAGGAGCACGTGCCCTCTGGGCTGGGGCGGGAGGCCACTGTCTCCCCGGGAGGTCACTGCCTGCCACTGGGCTGAGATCGGCTGCTCCTTTGTGCCCTGTCAGGTCTGTCCCTCGGCGATGTCCCCACCCGGCAGCCCATTGGCATCGTCCTCACGGTGCTGGGGGTGGTGGTCCTGGATTTCAGCGCTGACGCCACCGAGGGGCCCATCCGCGCCTACCTGCTGGACGTGGCAGACAGTGACGAGCAGGACATGGCCCTCAACATCCATGCCTTCTCTGCCGGTGAGCGCGCCCTGCCCCGCCCGTCCCCAGGCCCCGGCCCTGCGTTCGCCGCGCCCTGGTCCTCCATGCCTTCTCTGCCGGTGAGCGCGCCCTGCCCCCTGCCTGTCCCGTGTCCCGGGCCCCGCATTCACTGTGCCCAGTCCTTACCCGGCTTGTCTGTGGTCGGCAGGGCTGGCGGAGGCTGCTCCCACGGCCTCCGCGTGAGGCTTTTTCGTCTCAGACACCGGTGGGCGAGGCAGTGAGCTGGGATCCTGGCAGGGCCAAGTGACTGTGGTCTGGGGCGGGGGACATGCTAGCCAGGCGGCCCCAGTCCAGGGCCCTGTGCTGGCCGCCCCCTGCAGTCGGGCAGCTTTCCCATGGGACGGGAATGTGGGAATGTGAGCTCGGGATGGCGGGGAGCGCGGCGAGCATTCCCCGGGCAGGCAGCCGCCTGTTTCTGTCCTAATTCATGAAGTAGGAACCTGTCAGGTTAGGATTCCGAACCCGGGCTCAGGTGTCGTTTTCTCTGAGTGGCGGCCCTGGACACGCGTGTGTGTGTGCGCGTGTGTGCACGTACGTGTGTGTACGTACATGTGTGTGTACGTACGTGTGTGCGTGTACGCATGTGCGCGCGCGCGTGTGTGCGTGTGTGTGTTGGGGGTGTTGAACTCCCGTCTGGGCGCCCCCCGGCTCGGCTTGGCGCTCACTGCTGCCCTGCTCCGTCCCTCAGGCCTCGGCGGGGCCGTCGGCTACGTGCTGGGGGGGCTGGACTGGACCCAGACCCTCTTGGGCCCCTGGCTCCGCACACAGAACGAGGCGCTCTTCTTCTTTGCGGCCATCGTGTTCTCGGTGTCGGTGGCCCTGCACCTGTTCAGCATCGACGAGGAGCACTACAGCCCTCAGCAGGAGCGCAGCGTGGACGCGGCTGAGGCTGCGGCCCCCGGGCCCCACGCCGGCGCCCTGGCCGGCAGCGCCCTGTTCCCGGACGAGGTGCAGTCGGCGCACGAGCTGGCCCTGGACTACCTGGACACGGGCATCGTGCGCAGCAAGAGTGACTCAGTGCTGCACGTGCCAGATGCCGCGCTGGGCCTGGAGCCCGAGCTGCTCTTCTTGCGCGACATCGAGCCCTCCATCTTCCACGACGCCTCCTACCCTGGCACCCCCTGCAGCACCAGCCAGGAGCTCGCCCGGGCCCGGCCGCCCCGCCTGCCCCCGCTGCTCTGCGAGCCTGCCGGGGAGGACGAGACCCTGCTGGAGAACCACCTGAGCACGGCCGGGCTCCCCAACGGAGGCGGCTCGCCGCCCCACGGCGGCCTCGGCGGCTGCAGCCGGGTGGACATGAAGCCCCCGGCCACGGCGGGCTCCGGGCGGCGGCGCCGGCACATGTTCCGCCGGCAGGCCTCCAGCACCTTCTCCTACTACGGCAAGACCCGATCCCACCGCTACCGCTCCGGGTGGACATGAAGCCCCCGGCCACGGCGGGCTCCGGGCGGCGGCGCCGGCACATGTTCCGCCGGCAGGCCTCCAGCACCTTCTCCTACTACGGCAAGACCGGATCCCACCGCTACCGCTACCGGCGCGCCAACGCCGTGGTCCTGATCAAGCCCTCGCGCAGCATGAGCGACCTGTATGACCTGCAGAAGCGGCAGCGTCAGCGCTGCCGCCGCCGCAACCAGAGCGGGGCCACCACGTCCAGCGGGGACACAGAGAGCGAGGAGGGCGAGGGCGAGACCACTGTCCGGCTGCTCTGGCTGTCCATGCTGAAGATGCCCCAGGAGCTGGTGCGGCTCTGCCTCTGCCACCTGCTCACCTGGTTCTCCGTCATCGCCGAGGCCGTGTTCTACACCGACTTCATGGGCCAGGTCATCTTTGAGGGGGACCCCAAGGTGAGCGCCCGGGCACTTGTTGGGGGGTGGAACCTGGCTGTGGTGACAGCCTGGTTCCCTGGCGCCCAGCAGGCCGCCCCCAAAGCTGCAGGGGTGCACGGTGGGCCGCCAGCCAGCGTGCGGCCCTGCTAACACGGTCGGGAGTTGTCATGTGCGCCCAAGAGGGCATTCACACTGGGGTCTGCGGTGAACAAACGGCAGGCTTCGGCAAGTGCCAGAGCGCTGAGGAGCTAGAGGCAGGAAGGCCTGCTCCCGCCGCGTACAGACGCCGTGCACAGAGGGTTAAAGCAGCGATGTGTTGGCTTGTGGCCGGGCCAGCTGGGTGTGGGTCCTAGTCCCTGTGGAGTCAGCTGACTCGCACCTGTGCCCGTGTCGCCCAGAGTCGGGCTGGGAGGTCCGAGATGGTCCCAGCGCAGGCTCAGGCCTTTGTGCCCCACGTGGTCCTCACCGTCCTGTACTGTCTGAGCTGCTTCTTGCGGCCTCGGCTCCAGGAGGGCAGAGGCAGGAGCTGCCAGTCACATCCTCCAGACGCGGGGCAGGAGCGAGGCTGGGGGCGTTGCAGACGATCTGCTACAGGTCCCGGCCTGGCCCGTAGCTTCCTCCGTGCAGTGCTACCACCGTACTACACGGCTTGCCTGCAGTCAAGATGTAAATTTCCACATAAATGACGTCCTTTGCCCAGAGGTACAGCACGCTGTCCCCACCCCCTGAACCCCAATCTCGTTTCTGGAACAGGCTCCATCCAACTCGACTGCATGGCAGGCCTACAACGCGGGTGTGAAGATGGGCTGCTGGGGCCTGGTCATCTACGCGGCCACCGGTGCGACTTGCTCAGGTAAGCGGCCCCCAGTCAGGTGAGCCGTTTGTCTGGATGTGCTCCATGACTAGAAAGACCGACAGGCATCTTGCTCTGTGGACGGCGGGCCCTGACCAGACAGGGCCACCCCTCAGGGACCGCAGCGTAGAAATCCACTCATCCTCACCTTGGGAATAAGCCACCTTAGCCTGATACCGGGAACCGGTGTCCTGAGACCCACCACGGGCTGTTCTCTGGGCAGGCGCCTGCCCAGGCTCCTCGGGGAGGGGTCTGACCACAGCTCAGGGGGTGGCGGCACTGCAGGAGCTGTGCCCTCAGCCAGGAGGCCGGGGGTGGTGAGGCAGGCATCCTGGGTCCTGCCTGAGTGCATACGGTGTGTTTGGGCCCTGCCGGAGGTCAGGGTGGCTGGAGGAGACAAGCAGCCTTTCTCTGGGGTCAGCTGTGTCCCGGAGGATAGGGGGTGGGAGTGACAGGCTTCAGTCCCGGGAGCGACATGCTGGCACAGCTTCTGGAAACGGGGCAGAGCTGCAGTTAGGGGTCTCCTGGCTGAGCCTGGGCCGGGCCACCTGCCTGTGCTCCTACCTGAGGATGACCCAGATAACGGCCAGGGGCAGCGGGCAGCCTTCATGACGGTCACGGTGCTGTCGATGCTTCAGGAGAGGACTTCTCGGGAGAGCTGGGTCAGGAAGGGTGAGCAGGAGTCTATCCTTCCAGACCCAGAGGGGGTGAGTGCTCGCGAGGAAAACCAGCAACAACTCGGTCCTCGAGGCAGGACCAGGCACAGGGCCCAAGAGGGTGCCGAGTGGGCCTGGACTGGTGGAAGGATCAGGAAGGCCTGACCTTGCAGGGTAGGGAGGCCCCAGGGTGCTGCAGGACAGCACCAGGTCACGGGGTCTGGGACCAACAGTGCCGCCTTCCTTCTGCGGTGCCGAGCCCCCAGCAGCCGAGTGGGGCACGGTGAGCTGTGGCCCGTTCGGGAGCACCACGTGGTGGCCTGACGGGCAAAGAAGAGGGGCGGCCACCTGTTCCTGGGCTGGGCTGAGCGTGGCGGTAGAGGGAGGGGAGCGAGTGGGCAGTGCCTGTCAGTCACCGTGGTGGCCTCTCTCTCTGCAGCCCTGCTACAGAAGTACTTGGACAACTATGACCTGAGCATCAGGGTCATCTACGTGCTGGGGACGCTGGGCTTCTCTGTCGGCACAGCCGTGATGGCCATGTTCGCCAACGTCTACGTGGCCATGATCATGATCAGCACCATGGGCGTCGTCTCCATGAGCATCTCCTACTGCCCCTACGCCCTGCTCGGGCAGTACCACGACATCAAGGAGGTGCGTGGCCGGCGGGGGTGGCTGGTGGGTGAGGTCCTGGGGCAGGGTCAGCAGCTGTGGGCGGCTCTGGGGTTCTTACCGGCCC